GATTCCTAAAGTGGGTTCCGCAGAAACTAGGGGTTCTGTAAAAAAGTAACCAGCGGGCCGCGAGATTATTTCTACTGTAAAACAATGTCATTCTTCGCATTAAAAGTAAAATAAAACTATAAAGTGCTATACTTTTAAAATATTTCTAATAAAAGCTTTTGTTCTTATTTAAATTACAGTGTTTTTGATTTGTAATCATTTCATATGGGGTTCCATAAAATAAAAGGTATTTGTTAGGCGTTCCGTTATCTTAAAAGTTTAGAAATTCCTGCGACAGAGCATAAGTATGACTATACAGCTTTATAGAGAGACAGGAGTCTGTATAGTTCCATCATAGTCGGGTTTAAGTGGAGGCCGAGTCCACTTAAGAATTGTCTGATGCCCACCCTAGGAGGCGAACTAATTTTTTAATTATGCACAAAAATATGTCTAAAAATACATAATGTGTATTTTTAAGCAGCCAGGCCTCTCCTTAAAAATAATCTTAAATTCGCCAATGAGTCCCATAACAACAGCAACAAAAATCAGATATGTACTTGTAGGTAGGTGCCATTTACCTGCAATCACGTCGCGTTAAGTCCCGATAGTGTATTTGAAATATCTAATGTAACCTATCACCGTATCGCGGAGATTGTTCAAAATCTGTATAGTTTATTTAATTAAATATTTACGAGTTATTAATTTAACAGTTTCATTGTGAGAATGAAATAAACAAAATTCTAATGCAAACGCCACGAACGGGCGGTACACAAGTCTACGAAAGCGTGAAGTGTGAACGGCGTGCATACCCAAAATAAATATTTCAAACGTTCCCCATTCAGACGTTCAAGCAAATGATATAACTTTCGCTTCTTATTGAATATAACAATAGTATATTGTTTGAAAGTTCAATAAGCTTTTGAAGTATTTAATTCGCCTTGACGCAGTCGTGATTTTAGATTTGTTATTAGTATTGGTATTATGGATTTGTTACCACGGATAATGAATAATGATGGGTAGTGCGCTGCGCTGTCTAAAGAAAACATGAAGCGATTCTCTCAGAAGCAATCATTGTTTGTTCGTTTAAAAATTATTTTTATAAATTACATAGGTGTTATATTACTTTCAAAACTTATATTTATTTTTTAACTATTTATTTATATGTATGTATATTTCCTATATTTTTTTTATTTCTTCAATAAGAGTACGGCGCATTGCATCACAGCGTCTCGTCTTCAAAATTTAAACAATTGTCGGAAACGACTAACAGAGAATTCACAAAAATTCCCGTATAGGTATCATCACATAGGTATTTGATACATAAAATAATATACAGTACGTAGACGGACTTATTCCATACAGGAATGTATATTTGTCTAGTCTATCTATCTCGAGAGTATGTTAAAGAAGTTTGCTTTGTGGGTTTGTATGTACCTGTATATAGGAACATAAAAGTTTGTTTTAACATTAAAGAAAAAAGATGAATAATAATTTCGGTTACATTGTTCGTAATACCAAATTGGCCGCCAATTTTGAACCGATTTTAATTACTCTTTCTACATTTTATAGTCCCGTTCTATGTCGCATATTACTTTTGTAACAATTGTAACTGATGTATTACTTTGAGAAAAAAACTACTTTTAAAAATTTAAATCGAACATAATATAATCAGAGACATAGATTAAGGATAGCAAAAACATTATTTTTCTACGATTTAGTGCAGCAATTTAATTATGCCCTACCACATTCTAAATTCAAATATTTGCAACCTATTCTACGAGTACGAATGCACTGCGATGCCACAGTATGAGTAAATAGTACTATACCATTACCATTTATGGGAGTGTCACTATTAAATTTTTTTTTCAGATCGAAGAGTACCTGTGTTTTTCACTTTCAGTCCAATAGTTAGGTATGTTACAATAATTAATACCGATTATTCCATTACTACATAAAAATATGTGTGAAATCACGTTGCGATAATACGACTATTGTTATATTATTTTTTACATAAAATAAAAAAAAATTATCACAATAGTTTTGGAATTTAAGTTAATGCATAAAATGCACTATTATACATCATCGGTCTATCCAAATTTTGAATATCTTATTTTTTTAAGTCGCTTAGAAATAAATACTTATGACTTAACAAAGTGACTATTATGCAGATCAAAGATTTATGATTACATCAATATAACAAAAACAAAAAAATCTATAATATAATCATAGTCTGAAGAGATGTTCCTCGCATTCAAAGATAAAACTACCCTGTTAGTACACGTACACAAAATATTTTATAATACTGTTAGTATTATTGTGTATAACATAATTTCATAATTATATTACATATCTGTAAAGATTTTGTTGTTTGTTTTTAATAGATAAATTCACACGTTATCAGCGAATAACACTGGCCATAAATTATTTTCGAATAGGCTATATACATTTGTGCATTAAAGATGAATAAAATCACACAATTTAAATTTATATAAATTAAATTAAGAAATACGAAAGAAGTATATCGAGCACAAAGGAGTGGAGATGTCGGTGGGGGCCCTAATAGACAGACAAATGTCGACAAACTAGGCAATCGGAAAGCTTATATGAGCTGATAAATATGGATAAAACGATAGAGATTTGCTTGAACCGGAACATGTGACGTTATATTGTTTCTGCCTACCCCAATTGGAGGCAGAAGTGACATGTGTGTTTGTATATAATCAAAATTATGCAATATTATGATTGTAAAACGCCTATTATGTAATAATTATTTAATATCAATCAATTTTGATCAAACGAAACAGTGTTACGGTTGAATAGCTATGTCTATAACCACTTCTAATGTTATTCTGTAGTTTTTCAATAGTGCATAACATTGCAACTAGTAGCGTGGACTTACACATACTTAATTACACACGAATATCGGTTAAGTACGAAAAATTTAAGAAAGTGGTAATCGGGTACGTTCTATGACCTGTTAACTCATTGTTTACGTAGGAGTTCTAGGTATCATTAATTTATTTATTTTATTTATGTATTCATTAATACATATATGTGTACATGGCGGGCCTAATGCTAAAAGCATTCTCTCCCAGTCAACTTTAGGGAAGTGTCAGAATGCTTGAATGTGGTACTAGTAATTATTGATATACATACATAATTTACATATATATAAACGAATAAATATATATAAATAATGAATATACTCACACATATATAAAATATACTATATTATACACGAAAATGAGAATACTAGATAGTACTAACTAATTAACCAGATTCATAAAACTACTTATAATGTATCTTTTTTATATTTATGTACTTATAATAATTCCTCCGAGATTTGTAGGCCAAAATCTCGTAAAATAAATATAACTGTCATCTCAAGTAGCAAGGTGACGTCTGCGACTCAATTAAAACACCAGTTTTAAATCATTTTAGTTGGGGTCAGTGACTGAAAATCGACGTCATATTATTATAAACTTTATAAATATGTAAAAGTGAGTTTATTTGTTACCACTTAATACCTTAACTATCCACAATAATTAAAAAAACCATGATCATACAGTCAAGAATGTACCACTGAAGAGAGACAGTGTTTTAACAGCTTAGCTAATTTTAATAAGTAGATAGTATTTGGGATAAAGATAGACATGTAGGATGGAGAGGGACATAGACTACTTGTTATTACTGTCACACAGACGTAATTACAGGTACAATCATTATTAATTTGATAATTAATAAACCCCTACCTCTTTTCATTTTTTTTTATAGGATATCATAAGAAGCAAGCAAAGGAATAAAGTACTTGTTTATATACCTACATATATTACGTAGATTATTATTTTTAAAAATATAAGAGGTAATGATGATGATCAATGGAAGTACTTACTATATTTACATGTCAATTCACGAGAAAGTAAAAGTTTTATGACTTTTACAACTGTTATTTCAGTGGTTTACCTATGAAATTGTAATATAAAAAGTGCGTTTAACTGTACATAGAGGCAGTTTAGTCAAAAATGCCAGTCATGCTGCGTTTCACGGCCATTAGACATTAGCCGAGGCTTGCAGAGACAGCGCCGCCGGTGGGGGAAGTAGATCACTGGGTTAAATGCACGGATGCAACTGCACTTCTTGGAAAATGCCTACATCTATCCTCTACATACGCCTACTTGAGGTCTCTAGTTGTTGTATTTCACCGTTACATGTTACGTTATGTTTGTATGTTATCGTTAATTTTCCTCTATTTATAAGAAACTAGCTTTTTTCTACGATTTTACGGGATCAGGATCTATTTCTGTCTGTTCTCCTTTAACCAAAGGTTGTCTGTAAGAGATTGCCTTAGCGATAAGACCGCCTTTTGTACCTTTATGTGTATATTTCAATCTGCATTTATGTTGCTGTATTTCACTTGAATTATTCACTTGTCATTGTATATTTTTATTTATGGTCCAATAAATAGTTAAATAAATAAAAGTTAAATAAATGGACTGGAGTAAAAAATTGCGTATGTCGTTCTCCATCCTTTCCATTATATCATTCAATGTTTGGAGATTGAGTAATAAGGTACCAAAAGGTAACACAAACTCACTTTAACAACTGTAATATTAAGTAAAGATTAATATTCTAATTATTTAAAGGAAAGATAATCCGTATAAAGAGAGTGAAAGATAATTGTTTGCATTAAAATACAAAGTATGTTAATCTACGACTACAGTAATAATTATACGCTATATTTCTTTACTTTTCCTTTTTTAATAAACAACCTCAATGTGTATTTATAATAATATCTGGTGTTTTTTACTGGCATACGTTTAATAAAACTTTTAGATACATATAAAGGATTTTTTAAACTTGTACATTATTTTTTACGTGTGTAACTTATTTTTCAATTACTAAATTCATTTAAAAACTTATCAAAGACAAAGAAATGCACTTCAATACTTAAGTTTAAAAAATATTTACTAGCATTAAAAGTTTTGCTTTAACAACACTGACTAAAACACTAAACCACTGACCTGATCAACGAAGTTCTCCGCCGTGAACCGCTTCGTAAACTCCGTGAAGGTCTCCTTATCCTGAAGACTCTCCCGTCTGGCACGTTCGACTTTCATCTTCTTTATACCGGTTATGTCCTTGGACATCTTGAGTTCCTCGATCAAATCCGTTTTCGCGCTTCTATAATTTTCCGCTCCACTTGAGAGGCATTGTAGACTGACTGACCTCGCTGGGGGAGGCGCTGACATGGTTTTTGTGGCGGGAGTCCTGAGTCTGACCGCTGAGAGCTCAGCACTACTGATCGCGGCTAAGGGCTGCGTGGGAGCCGCCGCTGGGGGCTGAGGAGGCGGCGGCGGCACATTTCCGCTAGGGACGGGCGGCGGCGGCGGAGGACGGGCCTCCGCCGCGCTGTCGTCCCGCTTGCAGGGCGCCGTGATTGTTTTCAAGTACTCCGAGGGTTTGATGAGACGGTCAGGCGCTTTGTTGGGGAACGCGGGAGGCACGAACGGGAGGGCCGGCTGTTTGTTGACGAGGTTGGCCCCGCGTGGTCGCTCATCATCTGCGGACGCCGCTGATCCGCGCCGCCCCGCTGCAAAATGCGCTAGTTAGGAGGGGAGAGAAAGTCTGCGCATCGGCGCGCACGCACCCCGCGGACGAGTGATGCGGCCAGCGTATCCGTGTGTACAGTCGCACTCGAATATAATAACATATGAAAAGTATGACAACGTTACCGAATGCATTGAATGCATGAATTGAAGACGTAATGTTCTTGACAACGCATAGTAATTACAAAAACAAGCTTATAACTTTTAAGATTTTTTTTTTATATAAAGATCATTTATTTAAATACAAAAATCTTAAAATTCTAAAATCATAAATATTACTTCTAAAAGAGTTTATATGATATTATTTGAGTATGAATGTACACACAACATAATTTTTGGTAAGGGTCCTAACATAACATTGATAAATTGGTAAATTGTCAAAATAAAACTGAAAAAAAAAACATCTTTTATAACGCAGTTTCATTATTGCTCTCAATCCTAAGATTGTCTGGAAAAGATCGCTATTTACCATTAAAGCCACCCGTTGCCTCTCTACCTTATTTCTTGTAATCTTTCTTTGAGGGAACATTAATATTTTCCAAGAATAAATATCCTGCATCTAAACTAAAATTATTTATTACAATGTAATGCGACATTCATATTGCTATTCATGTCTACTATCTACAATGATAATTACTTATAGACTTAAACAGTACCATGGGCATAACAAAGTATACTGTGTCGCCCATGATACTCTTCATGCGTTACAATTCCTGTGGCTTAAGGTGTTATGCCTCTGTACCCTGTACTTTCACAGCCATATCCCACTCTTTAAACTGAAACATAGCATATCACTGGTAAACCAGAATTATTTTGTGTAATTCCACTACCATTAGTATGCGTGCACTACCAATATTTTTTTTATGCAACTTAGAATGACAAACAAACTGACGGCCCACCTAATGTAAAGTGGTAACCGTCGCCTATAGACATGAGCAGTACCATGGACATAACAGAGACTAACAATATTTGAAGATTCACTACTTCAAAAGATTGATGACTGATATGGAAGGTTGTAGAACTTCTACTAATAATAATCATGGTCAATATTCAAATGTTGGCAGTACTAATGGTAGCGGAATTAAAAAAAAATAATTGTAATTGACTCACAAGTAACATGGCTTTCCGCAAAATACCATGTAGTTCGATAAAAAAAATACCAACTTGTCAATTATAAAAAAAGAAAAAATTAAAGATGTTTTTATTGTGTGCCATAAACAACTAAAAATCCATGTTATTATATGTTAAGTTTCGTGTTTCAACCGTGAAGCAGTTGTGTTTGCATGGCTGTGTTTCAGTTTGAAGGGTGAAATATGGCGTGAATTTACTGGGTACAGAGGAATAACACCTGAGTCCTCAGGAATGGCAACGCATGGGGGGTATCATGGACGAAATAGTATATTCTGTTATGTCTATGGTACTGCTCATGTCTATAGGCGACAGTTACCACTTTCCATCAAGTGGGCCGTCAGCTTGTTTGCCATTATAAGTTGTATAAAAAAGAAGCTCTAATAAATAATATGAAATACAAAAATTACGAATTTAAAATGTTTAACTTAATTTTAAAATAATGAGTTAAATACGAGTACAACTAGAGATGTCATAAAAAGAAATCTAGTTATGGCAACTTCCGGATTAATGTTGAAAAAAATCTATTTTATTCTCAACTGGAATCCGAGTCGTGAGAACCACAACTGTATAATAAAATAATGACCGTCTGCTACCATTTCTGATTGACGTTTACAATTAATCATTCGTTGATCATCAGCTTCATTATACTACATTATTATCTATTATATAATTTCTTGATATTCATATTAGAAAGAACTTTTTTGTTTGGATGAGCTCAAATTTGCTCGTCTGGAAATAATATAATTTTACAAATATACTAGACTAAGTTGCCCATATGCAAAAGCTTCAAGTAACTCAGCGAGCTATGGAGAGGGCTATGCTCGGAATTTGTTTGCATGATACAACCCGAAATGACAATACGAGTATCCGCTGAAGAACCAAAGTGATTGACACATCCCGAAAGATAGAGGGGGAAAGGAATTGTTAGTAATGGGGATGGGCACGATCATCCCTCACTGGTGCCCCGCCAGCGTATCCCGATAGCGCAGGTGGGGTTATCATTCCATTATCACCCATTAAAAAAAGGCTGAAAGATAGCAAGTGGAAGTGGCAATGGCTCGAAGAACCGACAAACCAATAAGATGGAGCTATGACCTCAAATGCATCGCCGGAAATCAATGGATGCAGGGGATGCGGCATGGCAATCTCTTGGGGGGCTATGTTCAGCAGTAGACAGATAATGGCTTACTAGACAAGCTTTATCCCGCGGCTTCACCCCTATATATCAATATATAAAATACCTTATGTGTTACCGTGTATCAAATTTTATTCAATTCCGTTATTTCATTAAGTTCCCTTAGTCGCCTCTTCCGACACCCAGAGGAAAGGAAGCGATGGCCTATTCTACGCCGGGAGAACACAGCGGAAGTTTTTTACTCAATCACGCTTTTATAGGTTTTCAATACAATTTAATGCGATGATATATCTTTAATTAACACATTGACATGATACTATTATATGCTGATATACATGGCAAAGCCGTGAGAAACTATTAGTAAAATATATATTTGTTTTATACAACTTAGAATGGCAAACAAGCTAACGGCCCACCTGATGGAAAGTGGTAACCGTCGCCTACAGACATGAGCAATACCGTGGACACAACAGAGTATACTGTTTCGCCCATGATACCCCACATGCGTTGCCATTCCTGAGGACTCAGGTGTTATTCCTCTGTACCCTGTAAATTCACGCCATATCCCACCCTTCAAACCGAAACACAGCCGTGCAAACACGAGTATTTAAATATCTTAATAAAAACAAAATTATAGTTTTTTAGTGGACAGTAAATTAACTAGTCTCTAATTAATTTTACACTACAATCTCATAAACGAAGTATTTGAGTTATTTTACCGTGTAAGATAGATAGTGGTTACTATGTGCTTATGAAATGTTCCGCTTGGGCGGCTCGACTATTCAGTTATAAGCAAGTTATGTAGAAATGTGTCTTAGTTTACGTAAAATTGGCCTTTCATGGAAAAACTATGGATTTCGACATTACTATCGAGAGAAACTTGAACAAGGCCATATTTTTTTTTTCAGTTTCGTCACGATAATTAGGGAATATTGATTCGTTTACAAGTTCATTACGTCTATGAAGACAACATGGATCTTGCTAGATAATCGTGTTATTAAAAAGACTGATTGAATCTCGCAGCTTCGCTCGTGTGAATTAGAATAAAAAATAGCATGTGATCCATCTGTGTTTTTAATTCTACTCAAATCCTTTCTACTTTTCAGTGTATTTAAGTAAAAATCTTCCAAAGGTTTTTTATTTATAATTATAATTGTATGTTGTAATAATGATAATAAAGTCCTTTATCCTTTTTTTACGTTTTTAAACCAACTTTAAAAAGAACAAGGTTTTCAATCCGGTAGTATTTTTTTTTGTTTGTTATCTCATAACTCCGTCAGTTATAAACCGATTTGGAAAATTATTTTCTTATCTAAAAGGATATATTTACAGACCAGTCCCATAGGCGTTTTATTAAAATCGGTTTAGGGATATAGTTTCAAAATCATAATAACTTTTTTTTAACACAATTGAAGTCGCTTTTCTTTGGAACACTTATAATTTATTATAGTCGCTTGATAATTAAACAACAAGATGCATAGAAAGTGACATACAGACTACCCACTAGCATAATTAAGTACTGACCGTAATGCAGCGTCGTTAAAATTCAGGTGGCCAGTCATGAAACTGTCTCACTCTGTTTACTGAAGCCTCTAGTTTATCCTACTAATATTATAAATGTGAAAGTATGTTTGGATTATTATTATTATTATTCAATCGCGCTTAAACTACTAAACAGATTTGTATGTAATTTGCTATACAGCTAGTCCACTTCATAGATTAACATACACAAAATAAGGGGGTAAGGGTTGTTAGCAATGCGGACTACCAATCTCATCCACGTGGTCCTCTCTGGAAACTATCATGCCGAATTCCAGATGTATTCATCACGGTGGACTAACTAACTTGCCTTTTCAATCTCATCTGTCATTCCTCACTGGTGCCCCGCCAGCTTATACCATTAGCGCAAGCAGGGTTATCTTTCCTTTATCGTCCATAAAAAAAAAACATAAATAAAATTTATGGTGCATTTTGGAAGATTAGGTTCCTTAGGTGTTGAATTTTGAAAAACCCTTACTTATTATTCACCTATGCTATACAATAAACCTATCTGCAAAATTTTTATACTCTACATTTAGCTGTTTCGCTGAGCTTTGATTTGTGGGTCAGACAGTCAGTAATATTTTTTTTATACAACTTAGAATGACAAACAAGCTGACGGCCCACCTGATGGAAAGTGGTGGTCCTCTGTACCCTATAAATTTACTGCCATATCCTACCCTTCAAACCGAAACACAGCCATGCAAACACAATTGCTTCACGGTTGAAACACGAATGGGACAGAGGTACCCAAGCAAACGACTTTTGTACAAAGTCTCCCACTGGTCATTCAGAATCCTTTTTATTGTGCATATATATAAAAAAGGATGTGGATGAATGATATGAAATATGAATGAGAATCTCGAAAGATCCACATTTTAATTAAAAAAGTAATGTATTTTTTTATACTACTATTGTGGCAAACAAGCATAGGGCCGTATGCTTGTCTGACGATAAATGAGGTTACCGTAACCTATGGACGCCCGTAACACCAGAGAAGTCACGCGCGCGTTGCCAACCCTTAGGAAACCTTTGAAGAACCCCATGCAATAATTGTTATCAGAAAACTTGAGTCTCCATGGTGTATTTATGTGAATCAATAAATAAACATTTTTTTTAATAAATAAACACATAAAATGGCCTATGATGTATAAATATTTTTTTCCTTGCCGCTGTTAT